CCCCGCCGCGGCCCCCGCGGCGGCAGGTGTGGATGAAGCGAAGGTGCAGGGCGCCCCACTCTCTCCCTCGCATGTCAGCGGTGACACTTGGGGGCTGGGACGGTCCTTCCGGAGGAGCTTCGCGAGCAGTTTTTGACCTGCGCGCAACTTGGGGCGCGGCCCGAGGCGGCAGGTTGCACGTCCCGCGCCTGGAGGAGAAAGACGCGCGTCCCCGAGCGAGGAGGTGGCGTCCCGAGAGCGCCCGGGGCCGGAGGGTGGGAGGGATGCAGCCGCTGCCCCGGCGCCCTGGCGCGGCCAGGCGACACCTCTGCCCTCCGACCCGACCCGCAGGTAAGCGAGGAGGCGCGGGAAGCCGGGCGGGGGCGCGTTCCTCGCGGAGTTGAGAAAGGGCTTCGGGGCCTGGGCACGCGGCGGTCTGCGCCGGTTCGGCGGGCCGCAGGCGCCCGCGGGCACTGCAGCAGGGATGCTGCGGCCGGGTTCGGCGCATCCCGGGGCACCACGGCCCTGGCTCTGCGCAGAACCGCCTATTTCTCTACCCCTAAATCTCTGGTGGTTTCCCTGGCTCGATCTCCGAAGTCACAGGTCCGCTCTCTTCCCCTAAAACCGAGAAGAATAAACCGTGTGTGTCCAGGAGCGTGTTGGAGGCAAGCGCTTTCAATTACCGATGTTTGAAATGAGCCCATTTACTATATATTACTGTCACTTTACCACTTCTTCTGCTATCCCCTCTTAGAGTGAAGAGAACTTAGGCGTGTGTCTTAAATCCCCACCGAGTAAGATTAGAGTTTGTTTTCGCCTTGTGCAGGTGGGAAAACGATGCTCTGTAAAATCCTGGTTTTTTCAACAATACTCCACTTAAAATTAGAACCTCTGATCCTACAGCAAGACAATGGCAGTCGTGAAAAACACAACAGAAATATTCACTTAGCGCCGCTTTGGCATGGGAGAAGTTAAGGAAAATTTATGCATATATAACCCCATAATCGCTTTCCTGCGGGACCGTCTTTGGCCCTGCACAAAGGGTGTTAGGACTGAGGATGACAAACAGCTCAGAACCTACACCTGGATTGGAGCTGAGGCGATGGCCAGACACCCCTCGCCGCCCGGGGATCTCTAGTTTCTGGAATCAGACCTTTCAACTTCCTTCACTAAAACCGTGGCAATTTTGAAGTGAAATTAGGAAAATGGTACTATTTTTTTTCTCTGGAGTTTATTATCCCTTCGTTAAAATGTTTCTCTCGTGGACAGACATTTAAGCAGTATTCTATTTTATACTTTGTTTTAAAGAAATTTTGCTTGAATTGATTAAAAAATGATTTAAAAATGACAGCCAAGTTAAGGTTTATTTGTTATGGAGTTTTGTGATTGGTTTGGGGAGGAACTGACTTTTAAGTTATTTTTCAGATCTAATTCTGGTTATTTCTCATTGTCTCTTTACACGGATCCTTAAGTGAAGGCCTTTATCTTGATTTTAAGGAACAGAAGTAAAAATAACAGTGGCCTAAGTCCATCCATAAGAACTTTAGCCACCTTAATTTCCTTAACTTGTGATAGTCTCATGAAAACTGGGCTACTTTCTTAATTTTAGGATGTAAAAAACACCTTAAGTTGAATTTTAGGCCCCAAAAGCAAAATTTTTTATTTGTGTTTATTTTCATAGAATTCTCAGACTTTATGGAATTATCAGCTTGTGATGTTTATTTTTTTATTTATGCCATATGTGACCTTACTGTTCATGTGGATATTGCTTACATGATAGGTAAATGTGAGTCGAAGTCAAGAAGCTCTTTTAAAAAGTACAGTTATTCTCTGGGTGAAATTTTATTGGTCTGAAAAAGTGTATATCAGAGATAAAGCTCTTGACGATAACATGGACTGTTGGCTCTTTTTGAAATTTTAAATAGGTGATTAAAAAGGGAGGAATAAAATGCTTTATACTTGAGCATCATTTTTTTTAAATGCAGTGGAAAAAAGTTAAGGATATCATGTTTGTACAATGTAATAACTAGATAGCTATTCTAGAAGCTATAAAAATGCTTGAGGAAGTAAAATAAAAAGGTAGCATAAAATTATGTATTATACTTTTAGAATTTTAAGGAGAATGCACACTTATAAATCTCAGATTCTCAAGTGAACAGTGTTAAACTGGCTGAAATAGAAGAATTTTACTACATATAATTTTTTCTCAGATTAAAAGATATTTACTTTGGTTTGCCTTAAAATTGAAGTTATAAATTCTGTTGCTAGCTGTATAGGATAATTCAAAGTACTTTTAATTATTTAATTTAAAAATTCTTTATTTAAGGTTTTATTTATAGGTCTTTTGGTTGGAACATTGACATTAGACACTAAGTATCATTAAATTTTTTGTATAATTGCCACTATTTTTCTTCATTTAGTGTATCTAGGTAGTTTTAACATATTAACACCGTGAGGTTTCTTAACAAATTTAAACTGTAAAAAAGCAGTAGATTAAATCCTTGATTATTAACATTTCAGGGATAGAATCTATCTTTAAGATAAAATGTCTTTTGAAGACATTTTAGAATTCATATAATCGTACAGTTCTTAAAGAGTAATGTCTTTGATAGTTCTTTTCCAATTTTTTGAAATCGTAAATTAACAAAAGAATAAGTATGTTTTAACAGTTTCTTGATGTATTTAACAGACTGTTTCCTTAGGCGTAAACTCCAAGTGTTTCAGAAATTTTTATAGGGTTGAGAAAGTTTATTTTCTGTTAAAACATATTTCTATAGACTAGAAAAAAAATTTGTTGAATCTAGACTAGGCCAATCTTAAATAAAGATGAAATATGACCTTTGTATTGTGAAATGTATTTTTACCGAGACTTTTGACTGTCTTCTTTTTAGAAACATAAGTGTATAGAGAGTAAATCAATTATTTCGTTGGTACAATATAAGTGCTCTAATGTGCTTGCTTTATTCTGGAAATAGAGAGTTACCTCCACCCCCACCCCCACCCCCACCCCATATTTCATGTAAGGACAGGAGTCCAGAAAATGGTCAAAATAATTTTGAAGAGGATTGAGATGAAGGGAAAAAAATCCAAGCATGATTATGGTGTATATGTGTGTTGATTTGCAGCAGGGAAAGAATGAAAAAGAAAAGTTTGGGGTCAGAATTTATCCTCATTAATCAGATTCCCTAACACTTTCTACTTTATTGTGAAATTAACTTTTTAGCCAGTATGTAGTTATTGAGTGTATTAAAATATAGCAGACACAGAAAAATAAATCTCATTGGAAAATTCTTAGTCATGGTTTTATCAAATATACAACCTACTCTATATTGCCTAAATACCATCTTCCAAGCTAGTCAACATTTGAGACCAATTTATAAATTAAATGTATTATAAAAGTTAATTAAATAAATAATTTCCATTTTAAGAGAAATGCCTTTTTTTTGAGGGACTATTTTTTAACATCACAAATAGCACCAGTCCTTTGAGTAAAATAAGAATGGTTGTATTTATTACAAATTATACTTTTAAGCAAGGGGAAAATGCAATTTTTATTGGCCTTGGGGGCATTTATGTTAAGTAGTTTGGAGCCCGGTTTCCATTTCTGTATCTGACAAGGGACTGGATGGTAAGAGATGAAAGACTGTGAGGAGAAAATTAATAAAACAAGCTACGTGGTTGATCATAGTTCTGCGGCATGAATTCAGAACCAGAAAAATTCTGAGAGCCTGATTCCTCACAGCCCTTTTACACTGGTTCCAGTGAGTTAGCACTGGCATTGTAGGGAGGAGTGTCTCTGCCATTTGCAAAGCCGACTTCATGATCCACAGCAAATCAAACCCATGAAATCTTTTAGTCCTGTCCAATTCAGCTCCACTTCCTTGCCAGGGGCATAACAGCTGGAGTTAAAAGACATACACAAATGAGAAAATTAGTGCCATTTGTGTATGGGCAGTAGCCTTATTCAAACTGCTTTCAACCTAATTGACAAAAAAAAAAGACAAACTATGATTTGATTATAAGTCCTCCAGGGTGGGTAGCATGTAAGAGACTGGCTCAAAGATGCATTTAGGTTTTTCACTTACTTTGAATTACTCATAGTTTGCACTGTAGTTCTCTGGTTCAGTTGTGTGGTGGGGGGTGAGGAGGTTACTTCAGCCTCTGCAATTTGGAAGGGGCAAAAAGTAAAATAAAATGATAAACTTTTAAATAATCAAGATGATATAGCTAGCATTGGTAGTGTAAAATTTCTTCCATCACTGCTGAGGTAGCAGTAGTTAGATTTTCTCTGTTGGATTTTCTTATATTGTAAATCTAACTTCTTTGCTTAGAAGTAATCCTGATTCTGAGAAGTGTATCAGAAAAAAGAAAAGAACTGTTTTTCAAAACCATGGCATCTGACAGCCGACATTTTAAGTTATCTCTGTCGAATTTCAGGTGGACTTTGGCCACATTAGTCAATTGGATATGTATAAAATAAAGAAATCAGCTCAGAAAGGTCTGCTCCAGAAACTGGTGGTATGTATGCTTTTCTAACTGATCTCAGTGTGACATGTAATGATAAATCAAGACCAATATTTATTTTACAGTTGAGGTAAAACTATTTTGATGTCCAAAGTTTGATGCAAGCAAAGGATTTGGCCCCCCAAAATCAAACTAATAAGGTCTAACTAAAATCACCTGAGATTTCTGAGTTATAGTGTATGCTCAAGTGGGTATTCAAGTCATAAAGTCTATTCTTGAATAACGCTGTAGGGTTCTGGTAATGGTTTCCTTCTTTAAACTTCACTAACTTAATTTTTAAAAAGTCTCACATAAGAAACAATTGACTAAAGCAATAAAAGTGGGAGCTCTCTGTGGTAAAATCTACATGTAGTGAATGAAGTCTTTTAAGTTAGGATTTAACTGGCTTTCAACTTGAGTGGGTTTTCAGGTAAACTAATTGGTAGTATTGTCACTTG